AGAGATGACTTGTTGACTCCAGATCCCCCATCTCAGCCGTAAACACATGAATGATCAAAAATCATCAAAAATCCAAGTATTTAGCTTTTAATGCTTTACCTTCCTTTGCCAGATATTTAACTTCTTAGCTTATTAAGAAGCTGTCAAGCCTAAAAAAGGGAGCTAGTTTAGTTTTCTCTAAGATAAGAGGCTCCAGTCTTGGACATCTCAATCTTTCCTGTAAACTCTAAGGAAAATGTTGCACGAAGCTTGTTTTGCAGAGTGTGATTCTGAGATTACCAACAGGCCTACTTAACTTTGACAGTCAGAAGGTTCTGATTCTTGTGGCCTTGCAGGACTTTCTGTTTATGGCATCTCTCCAGTGTGGCTGGCTTGAGAGCAAACACAAGAGGATGACAAAGCAGGATGGAGCTGCTTTGTCCCTAAGTACAGTGGGAACAGGATTGCATGTCCCTGAGGGAGTATTTTTTGAAAGGGGGGTGTGCGGTAGTTTGAGGGGAGAGTACAACAGAGCAAAACTGCATCTTCCTTCATCGATGTTCATAGTTAACCAGCCTGAACATTGGTCCCCAATGTCCAAAATTAATATCATAGCTTGTGCCATTAAATAGGAATTAGAATAAGAGAGGTTTGGTTCAATTATATGCTATATTTCCATTTCACAGTCATGCACCTTTTTTTTCTTTAGCCCAACAAAAAATCCCAATGCAATATATTGAAGTTAGTGGTGGTAGGTCCTATGAATATTTTAGCAGTGTGGTAAATGTGTGTTACCTATCATTGGTAATGCTCATGTTCTGTACAGTATTCAAATCTGATAATCCTATTTGTTATGTTCAGTTCACACCCTGTGGACAATGCCAGCTTCCTGTCATTTGCAACCTTTGCCTGGATGACTCCCATGATGTGGGCCATATTCAAGAACAGGCTGGACATGTCCTCTCTTAGCCTGTCTCCATTCGATGTGGCTGACACCAGTGGAGAGAGGTTTGGGACTCTTTTTTTGTTGCATTATCTAATGTTTTTACATATGGACT